AAATAACACGTCTCGAGTCCCCAATACGAGTTCAACCCTAATGCTATTAAAATAATTATTACATTCCTCGTTTTTGTTGACAACTCCGGCGCTGGAATAGTAGCTATATTTTCTGTCACCGATATATTACATCCTTGTGCTGTACCATCAATTTGTGCACATTTTTGCGGTACTTTATATCGCTTCACAACAAACATCGCCAGCAAAACAATAGGCACTAAAAAAATTTACCATGATAGACTAAATCAACCAATTATTTTATAAACTAGATTGTAAAATGTTACCTGTTAAACACATGGCACCGGTAACCATGTAGGGTATGGTTAGGCGAGTCCTTCTGTTTACCGTATAGTTTAATAAATCATTTGCCGTTGAGTTAAGCCTATCGACGGACAGATCGCCCGTTAGATACGGTCTGACCAACAATGGGGCCAATATTGAGCCCAAACCGGACATCATTTGCGACAACTGGAGCACTGGTGGGCTGTTGTCGGCCCACATCTCTATAGCCCACACGGCGTTACTGCTATCCCACGCCCCGGAGCCCAATGAAAGGGTAAAGTAACATAGATATAATTGCCATATATTGGTACAAATAGGCATTAATGCACAAAATACACCCATTATTACAGTCATTATAATTAGGGTGATTTGTCTGTTTATCCATCGATATAAAAATCCGCCTAAAATTACATTATTGTGACATTTAATTAGTTATTAATACAACAAATATTTATGTTTATTTTGGTACATACTTAATGAGCCAATCATATACCCCACACCACCTAAAGTTATTACATAGGTTATAAGTGACATCGATGTGCGGAACATAAACTTCATATCAACCATGGTGGGCGCAAGAATATTGTTGGCCATGCCCTTGGTCATATGTTAATAATATAGTTATAATTGTGTGGTAAATTTTAATACTGTATAATTTTTTAATACTTACATAAAATATATAGTTAACAAGTATACACATCATGTATACGTATTTATCCCATTGCTTTACACATTTGGTTTCGTCTTTAATAATAATAATTTCATTATGATTTGTTGTGTCATCAGTTTTACCATTTTTATTAATTTTATTATATTTTTCATCACTCATGGTAAGACAATTGTTTGCATAAATATAGCTAGTTGCATTGCATATTTACTATTTTTTATCCTGATCTATTGTCGGTATTTATATACTTAAGAATCTACAGTTAACTATTATCCTATAATTTTTAAGCTATTTTAAGTAGGTTATATTTTAAAATAACTTTTATGCTTGTACTCAGGATGGCTATCTATAATAATTATACAATTATTGTATACTGTGCTATTATATCGATTACTATAAATGATCATGTGCATTAATCTAAACGGGTGAACCAAACCATGCTCACTTATAAAGATATTTATCTACAGTATCTTCAGTGCAGCATGTTCTAATGATGTGTATTACTGTACTTATTAATCCATATCTACAGTATAACCTTTATAAAATAATATACATGTAAATGATTTTAATTTATTTAGTTTTCATTTTTCATAGTATACAAATAATACATTTTAAAAATTACATAAAAAATAAGAATTACTAATTAATTTAAAAATCTATTTTAATAACGATCAATTAATACTTTAATTATTTAAAATTATTATATAAAATTATTACTAACAAAATTTGTTATTAGTGCAAATTTTATTTCTTAATTAAAGTTATTTAACTTGCGATGATAATAATCTTTGTGATCGCTTGGCTGTAAACCATAACATGGTAAACACCACGATGGATAGGACAAAATAAACAAGCTCGAGTATCATTAATACGTTCGGGTGCTTTTCAATAAAGGGGCCAATAAAAAACGGTGAGACCAACCATAACATACTCGCTGTTATCGAGAATACAGCTGTAATCCTATTATTTAACATGATAAATTTCTCGCCCAATGATAAATACCCGGACCAAAGGGCACTCAATCCTAAACCTGTTTAAATGATTAAAATAAAATTATTATTATTATCATTAATTTTTAAAACATTTATTTGTAAATAATAAATTATCTATTAATATGTTTATTTTAAAATCTATACTAACCAAAGCCTACATTTCCAATCCATATGGCTATTATCGATGTCTGTCCCAAATATAATGTACCCAACGATATGCCAATGATTACATAGTGAATGGCGAGCATTACTTCGGGCCTCAATTTGCTGGCCATATATGCGGCCGATATTCGGCCCAACGTATAGGTAGTGGTGACGGCTGTCAACAGATCGGCCGACTGTTTGGCCGACAAACTGATGGCCAAATATTGAAAATATGTGGGACTGTTGGAGAAATAGGCGAATTCCATACCAACGTATAAACTCATAGATACGGCGATCAATGCTATTATTAATGCTCTCATTGTGGGGGTCAGGGCTATCATTGCTGGGGCTGTAGATTGTTTGGCCTCAAGCCCTTCTGCCAAAGCACACGGTTTACTTTCAATATGTTGTTGTGTAAGTCTATCCATTGGTACATGGTATCGTTTAACAAGGTGCATTATTAATAACAACACAGGTCCTATAATTAAAATTTATTTAATATAATAATTTGCAATTAAAGATACAAGTTACATTTATATAACTTGTTCAATGTAAACTTACCTATGGTGCAAATGGCCCCTACGATCATATATGGCACTTGTAATAGAGCTCGTCTATCAACAGAATCATTAATATCTATATTATTAGTATTGTTTATATTGGAAACCAATGAGTTGACTAATTGTGTCCTATGGGACAGGTCTCCAGTCAGATATGGCCTAACTATCATTGGGGCAAAAATATTGCCCAATCCGTAAGTGAGGCCCGATATCTGTAGCCATGGCCCCGATTGGTCGCCCCATAACTCTATGATCCAAACGGATGTACTGCTATCATAGGCGCCGCCACCGACCATGGCTATAAATGTGCACAAGTAAAGTAGCCATATGTTTGGACAAAACGGTATTAAAGTTGTAAATATTGCAATATTGAAAGTCATAATGACCAAGGTTGTTTGACGGTCGATGTATTTATAGAGGAATCCAGCTAAAATTAATAATTTCTAATTAATATTGATCTCTCTCTCTCTCTCTCTCTCTCT